TTAATATTTAAAATATAATTTTATTAAGGACCAAAGAGTTACTTAAAATAATGTGAGGAAGGAAAACAATAAAACTAGAGATTAAGAGGCTAACTAGATGCTTTAAAACCTTGGTTTCCTTAGATCATAATTCGGGAACTTCCATATAAGTTGTTAATAAGGAAGTCTTTGACCTTTAATCATCAATTATCTTTTAAAAGAACACTCATATTTCTTTTTCTACCCCCCCCCCTTCCCCACTTCTGAAGGTTTTACTAGCGGTGGGAAAGGAGCCATTTCCTACAATCTACGTGGACTCAAGCAAAGAAAATGAGGTAACGTAACACTGAATTCTTCTGTCTTTAATGCAAAGTCAGGTTTTCTTTCACCAGCAAGCAAAAAAAAAAGATAATTGCTATTTTTGTTTTCCTCCGCTTAGAGATGGGCTGTTATTTCCAAGACTCAGCTCAAGAACGTGAGAAAACAGTGGCAGAGAGAGCTATCGAAAACTGAAGCCCGAGAAAAGAAAGAGGTGGGTTGGGAAACAGGATTGATGAGTATCTTTTTGCAGGAACTATCTTCAAGACACATTGGAATGCATTTCTTCTCATTATTTTCCTTCATTAAAGTCTGAGAAAGAGAGGCCAACTTTCCCCAGACAACTTGAATGAACAGAGCTTTGTCTCTGGAGCTATGATGTGCTGATTCACACATGCATGTTCATTTATCTGGCAACTGTGTCCTCAGAATGAATGTGTGAACAAGGCCTAGGGCTGCCAAGTCTCGTTGAATCGCGGCGGGGGATCATCATTCTTTACAGGAGCTCTGCCGCGGGGGACGGCAACAGGTGTTGCACCGCCGTCGGCAGGATGTGACGCTACGCGTCACTCTAGCAACGGGGCTGTTTGGAGTCCCGTTGCCAGAGCAACGCGTAGCATCACATCCTGGCGAAGGCGGTGCAACGCGTATCGCTGTCCCCCGTGGCAGGGATCCTGTGAAGACGCACGGATCCCCTGCCGCGGCTTGGCAGCCCTACTCTCCTGCTGGAGTGATCTTGGGCAAGCCATAGTTCTGTCA